ATCTTGACTTTAAAAGATTAAAAGGAAATAAAATTGGGTGTTTAAAGGAGCATGCCTCAGTTATCTGGAATGTTTACCTATATGTAGAACATATTATTCTCCCGAAATGTGAAGTAGAAGGGAGTATTGTTTGTATTCTTGAAGAAGTTCAAAAGATCTTTTCAAATACTAGTTTTGCTTCTTAATTAGTTTTAACTATGATTTCTTTTTAAAGCAAACATTTACATTAGGATTATTATATGTTAGTCACTATATGAGTACTTTGCAACTATTAACTTATTTAACATCATCTTTGTCATAATCATGGGAAAGTTACTCATTCTCTGTTTCCTGACCTTTAAACCGAGAAGATCGGACTATCTATATGATCTCCCAGGCCCCTTCTAGCTCTGAAGTGTTAAGACTTTCTAACTATTGCCAGGTAACCTAATTATGTGTTAATTAAGACAGGTCATCTTTTCCTAGTGGGAGCAGAGATGACAGTGGAGCCCTGAAGACAGTACAGAATAGGAGAGGAAGTTGTGATTTAAGTAACTATAAGTGCTGAGTTGGTATCTAGCACAGTCTCAGTTTGGGAAGGAAGAAAGGGGTCATCAAATCGTTGTTGAGATTTTGATGGAGTGAAGCTGTTGACACTATCTCTCTGACTTCTTTTAATACCTTAAAGTAGAAATTCAGTTGTTTAAATCTTGAGCAAAGCACGACACCTTATTATCCAGCACTATTTTTTAGCTATAGATTTTAAGAAAAGGGAAATAGAAGAGTTAAGAATTTGGTACATAAAAATATCAAACTTGAATCTGATCAAGCATCTAGAGCAATGACTAATTTACAGGAAATATAGGGGACATATTATCAAGTTTGCAGCCATCAAATGGAAACCCTGTAAGACAGCCTAGTTTCTTGCAATAAGTAAATTGCAAGGAGAGAGACAGAAACAGCAACAGGCACAGAGACCTGTAGATTAAAAGCAGTTTGTGATATCTCAACCATTTGTGTGCATGGACTGTATTGGGACTTTAATTCCTCATTTGAACAATCAAAGAAATCTGAACATCAGTTGTTGGAGATATTAAGAAATTGTTGTTGATTTTTTAGGTGTATTAATGCTACTGAGTTGTGTTTAACGCTTTATATTTTAGAGTTACACACCAAAATATTTATAGATGAAATGATGCTATATCTGAGATATGCTTCAAAAATAACTGGGAAATGGGAGATGGAGTAGGTGGGGTTACGTATGAAACAAAATAGACCTTGAACTGATAAAGTTAGTTTTTGAGTTTATTGGGATTCATTATATTATCCTACTTTTGTATATGTTTGAAATTTACATTCTAAGTTTTTTTTAAAAAAAGACTGACATGTTAAATAAGTACACATGCTTTCAAGATAGAAGTTATGAAGAAGGAGATTATAAAACAATGTACCCTTAGTGAATTTCATGCAGAGGCAGCGTTTTCTGCAGAGTTTTTCCCCAAACATATATTCGTTATAAAAGATGAAAATAGTTCAGAAATATCAGTATAGAAAGTGAAAGTCCCCTTCTTTAATCAAATAATATTTTTAAAATGCTAAAAATTGTCATATCATTTGTACATGGTAATATATTCCTTTTTCCATTTACGAAAATGCATGAGAGATGAAATTTTGACCAAGAGCTGGAGAGAGATTTTCCACTGAACAGAATTGCTTTTGCTTTGCAAAGGGGAATTTGTTAACATTAGTTCTGGAGTTCTTTTAAAAATCCTGTACATGTTAATCCTTTATATAATAGTGGAAAACTGTAGCAAAAGTAGCAATCTGGAATACTCTAATGTGCATCTACTCCTGCCTTCAGTGCAGGTGTAGACCGCAGATTAATTCTGGCAGTGGTTAGGCCAGAAGGGAAATTTGAACCTGAGAGCTTATGTCCTCAGCAAAGCTAATTGGAAGATGTGGAGCAGGGGATTTCCACTCTTTGTTAATAAGATCTCCAGGCACATTTCCTCTTTGTTTTTGTATTTTCCTCAACTGTGAAGCAAAATGTGATTTACTTCACGCAGAGAAATAAAATGTAATTTCCTGCACTTAAGGTGCTGGCTTCTCTTGTGGAGAATTATAATTGCAAGAGTAGAATGTGTATGGATTGAGCTACCTACACATTTGATTTAAACACTAATTTTAAATTAGCTCACTGTATTTGTGCCAGTGGTGGATTTGCTTAGATGATTTGAATTAGCAGATAACTAAGGTTGTCTTAAAGGCAAGCATCTCTCTTGATGGACCACTGCTTTCATTAACAGTGTGATTGTTTGCAAGCTGACTGAAAAACCATGATGGCAAAATTGCATACTGCCATATTAATAAAACATACTGTAGCTCCTTGGCAGATTTATACTTTTTAAATGCTTGTCTTTTTAGTTGAAAAGATCAGTTAACCTGTAAAATTCTCCAAAATGAGAAAAGTGAGCAAATGGTATTTTTCAGGAAAATAGGATAAGCCCATACCTGATACTACGCCCAAAAGTAATGTAACTGGGAAGTGAAAAGAGCTTATTAGTAAATACTCAAGAGCTATTAAACATTAGGTGAATGGTGAAAAGCCTTATAAATTAATAACTGTTCTGCAGTCATTGTCAGTATCTCATAGCCTAATAACTGTGATTCATTTTTTCAAAATATATTTAGAAACCTGTACTACTTTTTTTTTTGTTTGGCTTTTTTTTAGTATTAGTTTCAAGTATACAGTACGTTGGTTAGACATTTATATGCTTTATAAAATGATCACCCTAATTGCTCCTTCTCTCCTCTGGTTTTCCACCTAGCCAATACAGTAATGCTAACTTCCTTCTCTATGCTGGGCTCCCCAAGCCTATGACCATCTATCAACTACAATTTGTACTTCTTCAACCCTCACCCCATTCTCCCAGCCCCCAAAACCCCATTTCCTCTGTCTGTCACCAAATCGTCCTCTATCTTTGTGAGTCAGTTTTTGATTAGTTTGTTCTTTTTGTTCCTTAGATTCTGCATGTAAGTGAAATCATATGGTATTTATCTTTCTTTGTCTGACTTATTTCACTCAGCATAATAACCTCTAGGTCCATCCATGTCATTGCAAAGGTAGGGTTTCATTTTTTTTTAATGGCTGAGTAATATTCCATTGTATATATGAACCATAAAATCTATACTACATTTAACCATGGGCCAGACCTTTAGAGACTGAAATTTTTGAAGTGACCTCTTCCCAAGTTACTCAATGTTGTGTTGATGGTACCAGGCTTCTGCTCCTGCAATCAGAGATACTCCATATGATTATTTGAAAGCAAGAATGGATTATTATTATTTTAAATGATTTTGTTTTTCCAGTTCTTTTGAGGTATAATTGACATGTAATGTTGTATTAAAGTGTAGAACATAATGATTTAAGATTTGTAAAGAACTGATTATTGTTAAGTACCAAATAACCTGAAAAATCGCTTTCAGAACTAACAGAGCTCAGTAATCAAATCCAAAGCACAACATTCGTTGTCACTGTCAGCTATGTCACCAGTAAAGCTAAATTAGTACTTAAATTCAAATGTGTTTACTTTTAATTTATCATTATTACGTTAGAATAAAACTTTTAAGGTAGAATACCCTTGTAGGTAAAGGAACGATAGTAGATTTGGGGGGAAAGGAAAGGACCATAATTCTCCCTTTCCTTGTTATGTGATTAACCGTGGTAGTTTTCAGGTTTTGAACTTCGGATTCTGAACCGCCAGAAATTTTGGTAAAATTTTGTGTGAATGTGTGTGTAGTGTTTTAGGTGGGTTACAGACTAGTAGGTAGACAACACACGTACATCCAGGGTAAAATTAAATTCCCAGTTTATATAGCTAAGGACACCAAAATTTAGTAGAAAATGGCCAGAGATGAAGCAGGTGCAGTGTATTTCAGCACAGTTTTCCTAGGACCCTGGAGTCCCTACATGGGACTGAGCAGCCAGTGACAATGTCCACCCACTGTAGGATATCCTTATCTTAATTCATGCGGCATCACAGACCTTTTGTATCTGTGCTGACACCACTGTTCACAAAGACACCACAATCTGCATGCCTCCTTTAAGAGGACTTTTATGAATTATTGAGCTCTCCTGGACTCCGTGTCCTCTCCTCACTAGAGGAGAAAACCCATTTCCCTGCAATGAGGGTAGGTATTTTTCTCCCAGAAGAGGGCCAAGAGCTTTTATCAGTGTTCTTAATGGGATATTTTCCTAAACTTTAGTTATCTCTTGTCATGTGACTCCCAAATTGTTTTTCTTTATTCCTGGTTGCTCTTTTAAATGCCATATCAACATAACCAACCATTTGTTGTTTTTTGGGGGATGGAAGAGTGCTTAACGCTTAGCTTACTATAATTTCCTTAACTAATGGCAGCAGAAGAAAAGGTGTGCTAACATGGATTAGCAGGAATTGCCACTGTGTCAAATGGATGCAAAGTGTGTCAAAGTTTACAGGAAAATAGAATTTCCCTTAATCGCATTGATTACTAGTGGAATGACTCATCTTGCAGTTGTACATTGCTCTTAAGTTATTCAGTGTGTGTGTAAGTTAGACAAGGGAGGGAAAACCACTGATGAGATGCACAAAACACGTCATTTGAGCTAATGACTGTTCCCGGGATATCCCCAAGATTTCTACCTCAGTATTGCCTCTCTTATTTACCGTTTGACTCTCACTGGATTTCTTTCAGAGTGAAGTTACTTCCCATTACCTTTCTGCCCTCCACTTGGACAGCTTCCACAGGTTACTTTCTTGTACTGCAGTGTACAAAGGTTTACTGTATGCTTACTTAACATTAATCAGGTTTAGTATTGTTTAACTCAGGCACTAGAAATTCCAGGAATTTAAAATTTTCCCTTTTCTGTTCTACCTTTTCTAGTCTTGATTTTTTTTTTTCATTAAAAGAGGACCAGAAGACAATCTAAACCATTTTCTTTAATTAGCAATAAAATTGAACATAGATGATAGTAAATTCTGCTTCATTGCTTTGAGAAATTATAAGTTTTGATGGCTTTTGCAGATACAACTAATAAATCATTGTTTCTTCTGCTTCGTAAACAAATAGCTCATTCATCTCAATGAAGTAATGAGTTAAGTAGGAACTGGAAATAGAGGTTCTGTGTTTTTTCTGTAGTCATTAACTTGATCTTCTTTCCCTTTCCATCTCAGTTTTCTCACAGGATTGTTTTGAGGATAGAATTAGAAGATATATGCACATTGTAAAGGTAAAGTAATCTACAAAGCTCCATGGCAGGCAGTGTCTGGCAGAGAACACTCGCTTTATGAATATGTGTGTACTGCAAGGGCAATTCATCTGGTCTCAATCTAAAGCCCTTCTAAAGGGGATGGACATGCTTTTCTTACATATATGGAGGCAGTTAGGTTATTGGTACTTATAGGAATCCATCTACTCTACCTCTGTATGAACACAGGCTCCCATTTCTGAGTCAGGAACAGGAAGCAGAGAAAGTTATTTTCCTGGTATCCGTTTTAAAACCCAAAGAGTTATAAATAATGACAAACTGTTGGTAAAACTTGTACCATTATTATTACTTACCCAAAGCATATATAGAGACTTTTGTACTATAGTCTTTTTGTAATCAAATCTCTTAATTCTGAGTTCTTACAATAGCCCTTTGAAGTAAGTATCCCCACTTTATACCTCAGGAACTTGAGGCCTGGAAAAGTGAGGTGACTTGATCAAAGTCATATAAGCTAATGGATGGCCCAGCAGAGAAGATGCAAACCCAGATCCGCTGATGGCTAATCCAGGCTCCTTAAGCATCCTCACAGCATCTCTGAGGACTGTACATGTGCCTGAGAAGGAAAATAATAATATTAGGTAGCTATACTTATTGTTAAAGGAAACATTTTGAGTTTGGTCATTTTTCGAGGGTGAGCAATAAAAAATCTATAAAGATTCTTAGAAAGAGCCTTGGGCAATTCTCTGTGTAATTGCTTTTCTCTGGGAATTCTTTTTGAGGGCTTTCAGTTCTATCTATGTATAGTGCTAAATTTTTCTTCAAAACTTTCTCTCCCCCACTTGAAAAATAAATGTTTATTTTCTGATTTCTTTTTGAAAAGTTTTACAGTGAGTTTTATCTGTGCAATATTTTTATTTTGGTTTTTTTTTTTTTTTTTTTGAGGGAGTGGGGAATCACCCAGTGAAAGAACTTACATACTCTGAGTGTCTGCTTCCAAGGAAGGAGGAACGTTAGGCACTGTGTTGGTACTTTGGAGCCAGTTCCTAGTTGGTTGTAAAGCAGAGGGGATTTCCAGGGTGTTTAAGTGCGGATGAACTTTTTAAACTGAAAGCAGAATTTAAAAAGAAAAAATGGTAAGCAACATTCTGGGTTTGCAGAATCCAAGACATGTTCTTGCCTTTCCTTGCCTGATTTGTTCCTTTCTATTTTGGGAGCATGATTCTGCAGTGAAAAGTATCTTTTTGCCTTTCTTTTAGCTCTTCTCTATAGGTCTGTCAGGATATGATATGGAAGGGAAGGAGAGGGATCAGAAAGAATACAGCTTTTGTTCTGTCTAGAAATTTACTTTAAAATAAAATTAATTCTAAACTATCTTTATCTGAATAAGATCTATTTCCCCAAAGCCCAGGCAAGATTTAAGAAATAACTTTATATTTGTGAGTAGATTCTGTTCTGTCTGGGTATTTAGTATAAAAATCTACTTGGAAATATACCTCACTGCTAGAGAACATGTGTCTTTTAACTCATGATTCTAGATGGTTGAGAAGTCTTTAGTGAAAGTTTTTCAGTCCTTTGTGTAGTCAATAGTGGACTTTCATTTTGTATTTCAAGACAAAAAGTAGATTATCTTCTGTCCCCCCTTCTTCAAGTGATAGATATTATAGGCCTATGATAAAATATATTGATAATGTTCCCTGGGCAAAATCGTGTTTTGTACATATCGCAGAGTCCCCTTGTTTGCAAGTACCCTATAGGCAATAGTCTTGATTGGCATGCCTTGCTTAAGAATATAGGCCACAACTTATTAATAGGTACTGTTCTGGAAGAAGGAAAAACTTACAAGGCAGGTACCAGGAGGTTCAAGCCCTGTGAAGACTGCTCCACCATCTTCAAACGCAGTTGTTTTGTTGTCTTCTGGCTTTGGAGGTTCCAGGCTAATTTTTGTTATTCTGAAGTATAGTGGAAGGATGACAGGATAGATTTATAGGTTTTGAATCTTAAACCTATTACTTACTAGTTATGTGATTGACTTAACTTCTCTGTGCTTTAGTCTTCTAATCTATTAAGTGGGAAAAACATGGTAATATCCACCTCATGCCATTGATAGAGGAATAAAAGAGTTGATATAGGAAGCACTTAGAATTTGTTTTTCTTGTTTTCCACATGGTAAGTAGAAAGCACTGTAAAAGTATTTGTGTTATTATTATTTGGCCTGGATGCATATGGGATTTTTTTCTTTAACCTCAAAATAAAAAATTTTGTACAGAGAGAAGTAGGTGAATTTTCATTGAGTTTCCCTGAATCTCTTGAGTCCTTAATGACTTAGATGCTTTCTATCTTAGGAAAGGTTTTTTTTAATGATTAGTTCTCATCCTTTTGTTTTGATATATTCCTTGGGAACACCCTTGTGAGGCTTAAGTTGGAGCTCTGTTTTCTGGCCTTTATGCCTATAATGTTTTTTCTCTTAACATTCTCTTTTTGTTCTTTTCCTCTACATTGTAATAGAATTTCTCAAAAGTTTGTGCTGCATTTCACAAAATCCATGTTCGAGTGTATTATTTCCAATCTTTACTTTCAATGATGATTTTCATTCTGTTGTTGCATTTTGTTTTTTTCTTACATTTATATTTTATTTTTGCCAGATCCCTTTGCATCTCTTGCTGTTCTCTCTTTAAAGCTCATTGCTCTTTCTTCATAGATACAATAAAATATCCTCTGCCTATCCCTTACGTTTTTGGTGTTTCCCAGGGCTTCGGTTTCCCAGGGTTTCCTTCCTCTTCTTCTACTTCCCAGGGTTTCCTTCCTCTTCTTCTTCACCCACTCTTGTTTTCCCTACCACCTGTATGCCAGGTACTTCACATATCTACATAGCTCCAACCCTTGCATTCTCACTGAACCCTTTATTTCCTATTGGGCATCTTTCTGAATAACATTTTTTCAGTGACAAGATAAGAGTGGTAAACTATTTTATTCTTTATCTGAAAATGTTACTTAAATAATAGTTTAATTACATAAATTTTAGTATTTTCCCTCAACACTTTGAAGATCGTATTCCATTGTCTTCTGGCCTCCATTTTAGGTACTGTTGAGAAGTTCTGTTCCATTGTAGATGATCTCTATCCTCCTATTGCTCTTAAGATTTTTTTTTTCACTTCTGTTTCACTATGACGCGTATGTATGAATGTATTTATTTTTCCTTGGGATTCACTGAATCTGAGTTTCCTGAATCTGAGGTTTCATTTCTTGAATCAGTTCAGAATAATTTTCAGCCTTTATATCTTCAACTATTGCTTCTCCCGAAATTCCTATTAGACTTTCATTGCACCCTTTTACATTCACCTCCATGTCTCCTTCTCTTTTTCATATATTTCATTCCTTTATCTCTCTGACGTGAATTCTGGGTAGCTTCCTCAGATCTATCTTCTAGTTCACTACTTTTCACTTCAGATGTGTCTATTCTTCTCTCTACTCATTCATTTAGGGTTTTTTCCCCTAATGATTCCATTATTTACAGACCATAAAATTGACCTATTTTAAGCATACAGTTCCATGATTTTTGAGTAAATTTGTACATTTGTGTAACCATCATCACAATTCAGTTTTAGAATACTTCTGTCACCCTAAAGTTTCATCATGCCCTTTTGACATCAATCCTTGCTCTCTCCCCTGGCCCTAAGAACCATTGATACGCTCTCTGTCTCTGTAGTTTTGCCTTTACTAAAAATTTCATATAAATAGAATCATATAATCTGTAACTTTTTTGTCTTTCACTTAACATAATGTTTGTTTTTATACTACATTAGATTTAGTTTTAAATATAGTGTTTTTGAATTTGTGTTGTTACATGTACCAGTAGTTTATTGCTGAGTAGTATCCCAGTGTATGAATCTGCCACAATTTGTTTATTCACCAGATGATGGACATTTGTATTTCAGATGATGGACATTTGTATTTTCCCCTCATTCATTTTGTTTTGATTATTTTAGGATTTCAATTTTAGAGCTTCTCTTTCAGATTTTCCTCTTCAGTTTTTTTATGATCACTGTCTTTTCTTAAAATTCTGATTCTTTTACATTTTAATTATTGTTACTTATTTATATTGTCTCTTAGATTTTTCTATTATCCTTTATCCTGAGTTCTTTGGGCTCTAATCCTGTCGTTTAGAGGGCTCACACATGAGGGATTATTTACATTTGTGTTCTGCAATTTTAAATTAGTACAATTTTAGAGGAGCTTGCTCTTTCTATGAGAATCCCTTTGTTTCTTAAATTGTTGATAATGTCCCTCCAGAGAGGTTTTGTGTTTGCTTTTGCCAGGTACCTAAGAGATATTAGTAGACCAGAACCAGTTTTTATGTACTTTCTTGACAGGGCATGATGATTTTGTATTACATGGTTTGTCTAAATTTGTGTTCCAAACCCATTTAAGACTTAAGCCTGGAGTTTCTTTTTCTAAAAAGACTTTTTTCCTACTTAGATCCCTGGAAGAAATAGAGAAGGTGGTATATTGTGTTTTGACATCAGTGTGCTCATTTGTAAAGGTTCTTCATTTATTCAGGAGTTCACTTCCAATTTCTCTCACCATTTGTACCCAAGGTTTGAGAGATCTACAGTTCCCTGCAGAGAATATCAAAAGCCAAGCCCCTGTTTGCTAATACCCATTCCATTTTTCCTTTTTAGTTCTCTTCTGGACAATATTAGCATCAACTCTTATCCTTACCATTTTGATTTTTGTTAACAATAATCAAAGATCTGGCTTCATCTCTGTCACTTAGAGATTTCTTTCTTTCTTTTTTGTAAGTTCAGTGATGCATTTAATCTTTTCGTTGTATTATCCAGCCTTTTTAGATATTTGTAGCAGGATGGTTTTTTTGGTTGTTGGGTTTTGTTGTTGTTTGTTTTTTCATCTTACTGGAATCAGGAAACTCAGATAAGATTCTAAGTATTTTAAATAGGATAGTACACTATAGAAATTATAGCTACAATTACTAAATGAAAGAAATCTAAAACATTAAATGAGTATGCTATTAAATGAGTATAAGCGTCCTTAGATTATTTGTTAGATTACAGTCACATTTTCCAACATGTGACTTCATTTTTCCCTGGCTACATTAAGGCAGTCATGTTAGTGTTCCTTTTATTGAGGATTTATTTGGATCCCATGGTTTAAAGAGACACACAAAAAAATTTGGCTGTTAGATACAGAGATGCATTTTTTTAGTTGTTGTTCCCATGTTAAAAGCAGTGCTTCCAACCAAAATAGCTGGTATTCCCCTGTTTTTCCATATCTACTATGACTAAAGCCAGTTGTTTTAATAATCCCCTTCTTTGGAAAATATTATCGGATTTTTGCCGTACATTGGATATAATCAACATGTTAAGAACACTGTTTCTTTCATGATATAAAGTTTTGAGTATACATTTTTGTAGTCCTCCTGTTTCCCCTTGGTTGCTACACTAGAGTACATCATTAACTAAAAATAAATAAGAGATCTATTTTGAATTTTCTGGTGAGATTTGTTATCAAAGTCTCAGAATAGAAGTAAACCATCATAAATATATGGAGTTTCATTTCAAAAAATTGAAGTATTTTAACCTAAGTGGAAAAGTAAAGAAGTCTTAGTGTCTCTTTTCATTTGTTGAGAAAAAATCAGTCGCTTAACCTGTTTGCTTTCTCATCCATAATGTAAGAGGAGTAATAAATGGAAGAATCAAGTTCTACTGCCGTGTATCTTGTTAAGAGTCATTTATAATTATAAAGTCAGCTCTTCGAAGGCAGGTGCTGGATCACCTCTGTTCTAGAGCTCATGTGTCATGTGTAGTTTATAAGCTGTGCCATTCTTTTATTTCTTTCTTGCTCCACATTTTTGGGTCATTTTGCTCCTCATATGCGATTAGGTAACAACCACAAAACAATAAATATCAGTTCTGCTTCCTTGTTTCTCATAAGTTGAATAAAGTAAAGAATTGAAAACTCTTGATTAACTATTTTAGAATTCTTACTACATTTATTTATTCTTTTCCATATTATAGTATTAAGCAAGAGTTGATTTTTTTTTTTTTTAATTTAAACTCAGTGCATAATTGCATAAAGACTTTCTGCTT